TTGGCGTCTCTTATGTTCTTATGATACGTAATGGTACATTATGGTTTGCCAAGCAACAGCGATGGGGGACATTTTAATGTGTGGGGGGCCCCCCACGCACGAACCCAAGCCTCACTGAGATAGGGCCATCAAACTATGATTTGGTGTTGTGTCTGAATCACATCTGTCACATCACGGGGCCAAGTTGGTGAAAGACAGACATTGGAAAGCAGACACTCTTGCCTGTAAAAAGCTGTGATAAGGGTGATGGGAAAGTTTACCCCTCCATACACACATCCCAGCTTAAAGGGGGCAGCATGGCTGATCCCTTAGCGGTTCGGTTGCATTTTCTGGAAGAAACTGAAGCTGCCAGTGTGGTCTGTTGTGATGCTCGGTAAGTATTCTTTGATGTACAGTATGTTTATTGAAACATTATGATTACTTTGGTGCAGTTCTAATCTGTGTTTTTGTATTGTTTGTGGGGTTTTCTTTTGTAACTTGATGCCAAGGGGGTAGGGGAGGAACAGGTAGAGGGGGACTGTTCTGTTAACATTTGTTGTCTGATGATTTAAGAAAACCGCTTCTTCTTTTGTTATGTTTGTCCGCCTTTCTATTTACTAGTTAAGTTTGATGGCAGTATTTTTCTATTATTTTATTTCTTACTTGGAAATAAATGTAGGTTTGGGGTTTTCTTTTTAAAAAAAACAACAAAATTAGGCTATTAATCTTTGCTGAAGGACCTCTTTATTTCCCCTGCAATAGTCCTGTTAGAAAGCAAGTCTGTTGGGAAGCATTCTGGGGAAAACAGTTCAGGGTTTTAAGCTTTCAGCATCTGGTAGAGATTCAGCCTTAAGGACACAAGAAGAGCCCAGCTGGATCAGACCAGTGGCCCATTTAGTCCATCTTCCTGTCTCTGGAGGTTCTTCTGGAGGGCCAACAACAAGTAATAGAGACTGAGGCCTTCCCCTGATGCTGCCTCCTGGCTCTGGGATTAGGCTTACCAAGTGCCGGCGGGGGATCCGCATGTCTTTACAGGATCCCTGCCACGGGGACGGCGATACTCGTTGCACCCGCCATCACCAGGATGTGACATTACGCGTCGCTCTGGCAACGGGACTCCAAACAGCCCCGTTGCCAGAGCGACGCGTAGCGTCACATCCTGGTGACGGCGGTGCAACGCATATCGCCGTCCCCGCAGCAGGGATCCTGTAAAGACATGCGGATCCCCCGCCAGCACTTGGTAAGCCTATCTGGGATTCAGAGGATTTAGTGCCTCTGAATGTGGAGGTTCCCGTCAGTCACCGTGGCTAGCAGCCACTGATAGGCCTACCCTCCATGAATCTATCGAATCCCCTTTTAAAGCTGTGTATTCCTGTGGCCATCACTACATCCTCTGGCAGCGAATTCTACATTTGAATCACTCTGTCTGTCTTCCAGTCTGCATTATCACTAGAGCCACTTCCCAGTCTAGGTCCCCAGTGTGAAGACAGACCATTATTAATGTTTAACAAGGCACGCTGGTATTGGTAGGGTTGGGCGGGGAAAGAAATAATATGCAGACTTGGTAGTGGATGTTTCTTCCTGTGTACAACAAGAACTGTGTTTTTTTGGAATAGCTCCTCTGCAATATCCTTGACTTGGCTTCTCTCGTTACAAGGCTGCTGTTCTAACTATGCCCTTCAGGGCTTGTGATGCACCAAAGTGGTCTTTATCTTTCGTCTCTCTTACAGCTGCGTCCACTGCAACGTGGTGTACTCAGATGTGGCGGCGCTCAAGTCTCACATTCAAGGGTCTCACTGTGAAGTGTTCTACAAATGCCCCATCTGTCCAATGGCATTCAAGTCGGCACCCAGCACGCATTCCCACGCCTATACGCAACACCCCGGCATCAAGATAGGGGAGCCGAAGTAAGCATGCATGACCCATCTTGGCTTCCTGCTTGTTATCTTTTAATAACTGCTAGGCAAATCTGCTCACTCTTTTGCTTCTAATGCTACTCAGTCTGCATTGCATATTAAGGTAAAGGTTTCCCTTGCTTGAAAGCCAGTTGAATCCGACTCTAGGGATGCGGTGCTCATCTCCATTTCCAAGCTGAAGAGCCAGCGCTGTCCAAAGACGTTTCCGTGGTCATGGCCGGCATGACTAAACACTAAGGCGCACGGAACACTGTTTCCTTCCCACCGAAGTGGTACCTATTTATCTACTTGCAATTTCTTGCTTTCGAAGGTTGGCAGGAGCTGGGGCCAGAGACGGGAGCTCACTCTGTCATGCGGCACTCGGGTCTTGAACTGCTGAACTACCGACCTTCCGGTTGGCAGTTCAGCATCTTAACCACTTGAGCCACCGCAGCCTATGTATTGCATATAGAACCTGACTAAAGGCCTACTCATACGCTGTTAGAGAAGCAGGGAAAGGTGAAGTGAGTGTGACTCGGATACTGTCTTTCCCTTGTCTGCCATATTGCTGAAATTGGGGAATGCTTTGCACTCCCCCCCCCCAAATGTGCACTTCAGGTGTAATGTGTGAATGAGAGAAGTTTGCAAATGTGCATTATGTAAGTACAGTCAGCAGAGAGGCCCTTGTTCAACATACACCCAGGAGCAAACCAAGGATTTTGGCCACATCATCTGCTGAGTGTCTCAAAGCCTATGCGCTTCAGAAGACTTCTGAGGTCCATGGGTCTCACACATGCACCAAGTGCCTATCTCCTGTGTAACAGGGTGAGAGGGGAAAGAAAACTCAAGTGCTTCCATATGACATCTGAGCCCTCCTTTGACCTTTGCACAAAATAACTTAGCAAAGGTGAGATCAACGAGTTCCACATTTTAATCACTTTGGCATAAGAGAACGAATGTAATTTTTCTGTTCCCCCCGGATTTCTTCCAAGCTTCACGCCTGCTTGGCACCTTTTTCGAACTTGGCTTCTGCTCGGGACCCCTTTCCAGGTTAATCCATCTGCTGCAGCAGCTTTATATTTCCACCGTGCAAGTTTGCATTCTGGAGAGGATGCGGGTAGACGTTTTAGGTGGTGTTATCATTGTGCGGTGGCTCAGTGGTTAAGACGCTGAACTGCGGACCGGAAGGTCGGTAGTTCAGCAGTTCGAGACCCGAATACGGCATGACGGAATGAGCTCCTGTCTCTGGTCCCAGCTCCTGCCAACCTAGCAGTTCGAAAGCAAGAAATTGCAAGTAGATAAACAGGTACTGCTTCGGTGGGAAGGTAACAGCATTCCACGCACCTCGGCATCTAGTCATGCCAGCCACATGACCATGAAAATGTCTTTGGACAGCGCTGGCTCTTCAGCTTGGAAATGGAGATGAGCACCGCCCCCTAGAGTCAGATTCGACTGGCTTTCGAGCAAGGGAAACCTTTATCACTGTTTACATGACATAAGAGAATGAATGTGATATTGCAGTTGGATTGCTTGTGATCGTGGTTTATCAAGGGTGAATCCCCATCCGCCCCAAGCATGTCCCACGCACAGTATATCTGGCTCCTTAGGCGATGAACAAATCTGTAAGAAATCAATTTTCTGTTACCCTTTGACTTCTTCAGAGCGTCAGGTAGGCCTCCTTAAACAGATGACATGAACAGAGGCTGCAGAAAACTTGGCCTCCTTCCTTCTAGTCCATTTTTTCCCAACTCTCCAATTTGTTCGACGCTGGGAATCAATGGGACACACCCCTGTCTCCTTTGGGCAGGGGTCATTTCGTAGAAAAAGAGCTAGGGGAACTCATTAGCATAACTCATTAGCATATGCCACACCCCCTGACAGGGGCCCGGCGGTGGACCTGCAAGGCCGGCGGGAGTGCGAGGAAGCCCTGCGAAGGCCCTCCCTGGCCCCAGGCAGGCAGGGGTGGGGGAGAGGCAGGGAGGAAGCAACTTACCCTCCCTCTTCTCCTGCCTCCTCCTGGCTGAATGAATGCCGGAAGCGGGGCGGCCGGAATCAGGGGGCGGGGCTTCATCGTGTGCCCCGCCCCCCACCTCACCCAGGGGAACTGTGATCCCCCGTGATCCCCCCCGAAATGACCTCTGCCTTTGGGTCTTTTGCTAGTGTAAGCTCCCTGCATTTGCATTGTTCTCACAATTTTTGAAGAAGACGACGACTTGGTTTTATACCCCACCCTTCAATACTGGAAGGGAGTCTCGGAGCGGCTTACAATCTCCTTCCCTTCCTCTCCTCACAACAGGCTCCTTGTGAGGAAGGTGTGGCTTTGAGAGCTCTGAGAGAGCTGTGACTGTCCCAAGGTCACCCAGCTGGCTGCATGTGGACGAGTGGGGAATCCAGCCTGGTTCTCTAGATTTGAGTCTGCCGCTCTTAACCACTACACCAAGCGGGTTCTCGGGGAGGGGCCATGAAAACAGCTGAGCTTTAATGTTTACCTTGAAGAAATTTGTCTTTGACATTTGAAAGCCAAGTGCCTTTCAGACACTGGGGTGAAACTGGATAAGCACTGACTGCGGCCTTAAAACATTATGAATATTCGAAATGTGACCTTTTGAAGGCCTCCAGTTTTTCCCGCCCAAAAGACACCAGTGCCAAAATACACCCAGTTCTCTGCTGCCATTTTCCCTCTAAGTAGATCCAGGGCTATTCTTGGGCAGGAACGCACAGGAACGGAGTTCCGGCTGGCTCCCAAGTTGGCCACGCCCAGCAGGAACGCATTAGCATAATAGGCCACACCCAACAGCAGAAACTCATTCGGATTGGCTACATTAGGGGTGTGTGGCCTAACATGCAAAGGAGTTCCTGCTACAAAAAAAGGCCCTGGGTTCTGACAACAAACAAGGTAAACAGAATAAGAAGCAAAAGGTGGGTGTGGCTGGATGACCACACTTCTGCTAACATGGGGGTGCTTCCTAATGTGCTAATGAGCTGTGCTGGCAGAGGCGTGGCCTAATATGCTAATGAGTCCCTGCTGTTGGGTGTGGCCTATTATGCTAATGAGTTCCTGCTGGGCTTTTTCTATAAAAAGAGCCCTGAGTAGATCTCATCACCTAATGAGCACTGTCCTCTCAGATGGAAAATTAAATGATTACACTGTGATGTATTGGGAAAGTCTCAAGTTAAAGCAAAATTTTACACTGTCGTTATTTATATGCATGATAGCCCATATCTGTTGCAGAGAAGCAGCTCCTGTGCAGGAATCCAGTGGCCTTTTCCTAGGGTTGCCAAGTCCTCCCTGGGCACTGAAGAGAGATTGGGGGGGGGGGCAGGTTTTGCCAGATCCAGGTTGGGAAATGCCTTCAGATCTGGGGATGGAGCCTGGGGGAGGACAGGGACCTCAGTGGGCTGCAGTGCCATCGAGTCCACCCTCCAAAGCAGCCATCCGCTCCAGGGGAGCTGACCTCTTGAGTCTGGAAATGAGCAGTAATACCAGTGGATCCCCAGGTCCCACCTGGAGGCTAGCATCCCTACCTCTTCCTGATCACCAAATCCGTCTTCATTGCTGAAGACCTACAGGCAGGGGTAATTTCGTAGAAAAAGAGGTGCAGGAGCACATTAGCATAACTCATTCGCATAACTCATTTGCATATGCCACACACCCTGACATCACCGGAAGTGTGTCAGAAGGCAACACCCACCGCTCAGGCTCCACTGGACTCTTTTGGATTGCTAGCTATGGGGGGGGGGGACGTGTAGATCTGTCCTCGCAGAGGAGGGAGAGCTTGTACCTGAACAAAACTTGGTCTTAAAGGTGCCACTGGACTGTTTTGGACTGGGGGGGGGGGGCTGCAACTTACCTGGCTGCTTCTTGCTCTGACTGAGGGCTGCTGGGAGCAGGGGGTGGGGCTTGTTGCATATGCCTGCCCCCTGGGCTCTTTACTGCCGGAGCTCTGCTCCTGTGCGCTCCTGCAGGAAATAACCCCTGCCTACGGGTAATCTTACTCTCACTCCAGAGCTAAACCAGTTTAACTGGTCATTCCCCCCAAGATAACACAGAGCACTGTATTTCTGTGAGAGTGCTGCTAGTTCCCAGTGCTACCTTTGCACAACGTACCAGAGACGGAATGTGCGTGGCAGAGAGCCGCCATTGTGGTAGCAAGTGCCACTCCAGCACATGCACTTTTGTAGAAAAAGCCCAGCAGGAACTCATTAGCATAATAGGACACACCCAATAGCAGGGACTCATTAGCATATTGGGCCACACCCCTGACAGCACAGCTCTTTAGCACATTAGGCCGCACCCCCATGTTACCAGAAGTGTGCTCATCCAGCCACACCCACCTTTTGCTTGTTATTCTGTTTACCTTGTTTGTTGTCAAAACCCAGGGCCTTTTTTTGTAGCAGGAACTCCTTTGCATGTTAGGCCACACACCCTTAATGTAGCCAATCCTAATGAGTTTCTGCTGTTGGGTGTGGCCTATTATGCTAATGAGTTCCTGCTGGGCGTGGCCAACTTGGGAGCCAGCCGGAACTCTGTTCCTGTGCGTTCCTGCCCAAAAATAGCCCTGCTTCTGAAAGGTTTTATTTCTGTTATTTATAGTCCATCTTTCTTACTGGGACTCAGGGCTGGTTACACAGAGTGAGTCAAAACAATCCACTGGATGGGACACTGAATAAACAAAGACATAGGGTTTGAGTTCTAAAAGTAACCAGAAATCTAAAAAAAAAAGAAAAAGAAAAAGAATTGAAGCAAAGCACAAGTGTTAACACGACACATTAAATGATGCAAGATTACACAGCAGGATCCAACTTAAAGCAAACTGTACACAGCACTATAGATAACAGTCCCTGATAATTTGTCGAAGTAACTTTGTGAATCATTTTGTACAGTGCTACCCTGCTCCCTGCACAAAAAAGTCCCCTTGGATAATTCAGTTTTTCATAGTTTGCGGAAAGCAAGGAGAGTGAGAAAGATGTGGGCCACACTTACTGCTGAGGTGCCACTTCCTTCCAATATGTAAGTCCAGTCTCCGTCGAACATTGTCTGAAAGGGCTGGAGAATGCTGAGCACTTTTGCCAAACTACAATTCCCAGAGTTCCTTGAGAGAGTAGCTGTGATGACTAAACTGGTTTCTCACTGACAGAAGTTGGTGGCATAGATATTCTTTTTTCTTAATAAGCAGGGATTGCCAAAATTCTTTTGCCTTTGACATTCCTGTATGTCTTCCTGCTTCAGATTTTGCCTCAGGTGAAATTCCAGGGGGAACTCCAAGGAGGTGGCTGATAGATTCTTCCTTAAAAGCAGAAATCGTATTCTGCCTGGGTTCAACAAAACCCACTAAAATGATTTGCAGCTCCAAGATGGCATTTGGAAGCCCACTGCTAAGATGCACTGTGTGGTGGTTTAGTTCTGTAAAATTTGCCTTAGAATTCAGTCTCCTCCTGAGACTAGAGAAAAGTCAGAAAGTTTTGCTTAACCTCCAACTTTGATTTTTTTTAGGTGTGTAACAGGGGTCCCCAGCCTTTTTCAGACCACAGGTACATTTGGGATTCTGACACAGTGTAGTAGGTGCAGCTGTTAAAAAATGGCTGCTGCAGGAGGCCGAGCCAGCCATAAAATGGCTTACCTGGGCCTGTGCCAGACCGGCCGAGAGTTGGGGCACCCTCTCCCGTCCTTCGGCGGGGTACCATTGGTGCTTGTGCGGGAGGTTAGGAATTTTGGTGTGCTCCTGGACTCCTTGTTAACGATGGAAGCCCAGGTGGCAGCCACTGCCAAGTCAGCCTTTTACTATCTGCAGCTGGCCTGGCAGTTGGTTCTCTACCTCGACCGCGAAGACCTGGCCACTGTGATCCATGCGACGGTCACCTCGAGGTTGGACTACTGTAATGCTCTCTACTTGGGGCTGCCTCTGTCGCAAATCCGGAAGCTGCAGCTAGTGCAGAATGCTGCAGCCAGGCTGTTGATGGGCCTCTCCAGGCGAGACCACATCCGGCCTGTACTGCAAGCACTGCACTGGCTGCCAATAGCATACCGGATTTGCTTCAAAGTGCTGGTGCTTACCTTTAAAGCCCTGAATGGCCAGGGTCCGGCTTACCTAAGGGACCGCCTCTTCCCGTATGTACCCCCAAGAGCACTGCCATCGGGGAACATCCACCTTCTGGTAGTACCAGGCCCCCGAAGTGTGGAGCTTGCCCAAACCAAGGCTAGGGCGTTTTCGGTGGTGGCTCCTTCCGGGTGGAATGAGCTTTCGGAGGAGATCCGGGCCCTGCGGGACCTTGTGCAGTTCCGCAGGGCCTGCAAGACAGAGCTCTTCCGCCAGGCCTTTGAGGAGGAGCCGCCGCCGCCACTACGCCACCACTGAGAGTCCATCATTCATCTACCCCATTGTTGGGGGGGTAGATGCCGCCCGTGAGCTGGGAAATATTACTTCTGGTGCTCATGCTATGAAGAAAATTGGCCGCCAATGTGGGATGCCGTGCATCTTGGTCTTTTATATGAATTATTGTAGCACCAAATTTTATTGTATGTAACATTGTTTTATTGTTTTAACTTTTAAACTCGGCATGACCGCTTGTTAGCCGCCCTGAGCTACTGGATAGGGTGGGGTATAAATCCCTAAATAAATAAATAAATAAATAAAATAGTGAAGATATCTGTGCTGTGGTAGCAGCTGCTGTCAAAGCAATGTTTATAAAGATCTGCACAGTCAATCAAATCCAGTGGCCAATCAGAAGCCTTGCTGGGGAAAAGCCCCACCTTGCCACTTCCACTTTCTCAAAGCATATGGTGGGCACCAGGAGAGGTATCAGTGGAGAACCTGGGTGTATAGTTTAAATACTATCCATTCTGTTGATGGAATTTTGTCTGTGTTTGAGCGGTATCCTCCCCTAGGATGGAGGAATTTCCGTTCCTCCCACTTAAGTGGATTTTCCTCCATAGAAGAGTCTCTTAAGTTGGAAGAAGACTCCCTAGGCTGGAAGAAAGCTTCAAACTTTGCTTAATGGCATGGTGGGATGCAGGCCTTTCTCTTGGGGGAGAGAATTTGCAGTGCTTTCCACCAATGCCTGTAGTCGGCCTCTATGTTTATTTTTTGGTGGACAACCAGTTTGGTGTAGTGGTTAAGAACAACGACCTCTAATCTGGAGAACCGGGTTCGATTCCCCACTTCCTCACTTGAAGCTAGCTGGGTGACTTTAGGCAGGTTACAGCACTCTCAGCTTACAAATAAGCATAGTTCGCCACCTAGTGGTGCCAAAAAAGAGCTACAACCTCTGCAGCCAAACGATCCCTTCCAGGATCTGCTGGCTATTCCACACACAGTGTCATACGATAATTAATTAATTAATAATATTGCAATGTCACCAGTTCCAAGAAATCAGTTATGCAAGTGCCTGGCTTCTTCCACTTTCCTCTTTGTTTCTAGAATAATATACAAATGTTCCATGTGTGACACAGTGTTTACTCTGCAACCTTTGCTGTATCGCCACTTCGACCAACACATTGAGAACCAGAAGGTCTCGGTCTTCAAGTGTCCAGACTGTTCTCTCTTGTATGCACAGAAGCAACTGATGATGGATCATATCAAGGTATGTGGGCATCTTAGTTCGCTTAGATGCAAGACTGTTGCACGCAACAGGCATGGAAGTCAGCTAATTGCAGAGAAGCTACCAAATTAAAAGATGGTTGGTGGTAGACGTCCTGTTCTCACAAGGTCATCAGCCTGTTGAATTCAGCAGAACTTCTGAATATAATTGCATGGCGTTGGGCTGAGAAACAGTTTACCAGGAACAAACATGATGTCACCTTCTTCTAAATCCTGTTTCAGACACTTTGGTGTAGTGGTTAGGAACGCAGACTCTGATCTGGGAGAACCGGGTTTGATTCCCCACTCCTCCACATGCAGCTGCTGGTGTGACCTTGGGTCAGTCAGTCACAAGTTCTTTCAGGGCAGTTCTCAAAGAGCTATCTCAGCCCCACCAACCTCACAGGGTGTCTGTTGTGGGGAGGGGAAGGGAAAGGAGGTTATAAACTGCTCTGAGACTCCTTCAGGTAGTGAAGGGCGGGGTATAAATCCAATCTCTTTTTTTCCTTTTTCTAGACAGGTAGCTGTTTTACCAGGATAATCCTAAACGTTGAACTCAGTGGGCTTAGAAGGGTGTTACTCTGTTTAGGATGGCATCATTAGTCTGTTGGCAGCAAAGAACTTAACTGGAGTCTTCCAGCATGTTAATGCTTTACAGCATTTTATATCAGCATAAGATTTTGCAGATGAGAGCACTCTTAGCATCTGTAAAAGTCTGCGCAGTACTTGGCAAATCGTAAGTGATTGCATTTGGCCTGATGGAATTACAAGTAGGGGAAAGAAGAAGAAGAAGAAGAAATTGGATTTATACCCTGCCCTTCACTTATAGTCTCAGATCGGTTTACAAACTCCTTTCCTTTCCCCTCCCCACAACAGACACTCTGTGAGGTCGGTGGGGCTGAGAGAGCTCTTTGAGAACTGCCCTTGAGAGAACAGCTCTGAGAGAACTTGTGACTGACCCAAGGTCACTCCAGCAGCTGCATGTGGAGGAGTGGGGAATCAAACCCGGTTCTCCCAGATTAGAGTCCACGCTCCTAACCACTACACCAAACTGGAATATAATGGCAATGCTAGCCTAGAGCCTTTCTTCCTGATGTGCCAGTTTTCTAAAACATCGATGTGTGTGGGGTGGTTTCTTTTATGGGACACAGTTCAGATATGCAGTGCTCACCTGTTATCCAGAGTGGTCCAGTTCCTTTGTATCATATGGCTGTGCTGCACGTGCCTTTAGTCCCTTGGGTTCAGTGAAGCTGAATTTATGAGTAACTGTATTTTGGCTTAGAATAAAGTTAGAGTCCAGCGGCACCTTTAAGAGCAACAAAGTTTTATTCAAGGTGTGAGCTTTCAGGTGTACGCACAATTCGTGAGAATTGGCTTGCAACCTTGCGCCAGTGGATGGTAGCTCATTGAGTCCCTCTCTAAATAATGTCTGTTTCTCGTATTTATTTCAGTCTATGCACGGGACACTGAAGAGTGTCGAGGGCCCCCCAAACCTGGGCATCAGCCTGCCGCTGAGCACAAAGCCCACCACTCAGAACTCGGTGGGCCAAAACAAAGAGGACTCCAAGGCCATGAATGGGATGGAAAAGGCAGAGAAGAAATCCCCCTCCCCTGTAAAGAAAGCAGAGCCCCAAAAAGTACCCAATCCCGGCTGGACGTGCTGGGAATGCGACCGGCTGTTTACACAGAGAGATGTTTACATATCCCACATGAGGAAGGAGCATGGAAAGGTAAATAAATGGCTGTGTTTTCCAGGTACAAGGAGAGAATGAGAAGGTGCCCATCAGCCACTCTTAGAGCTGCCCGACACCAAAAGATTTTACCAGTCCGTCTTTTCACTGATGCATCAATAAATATATCGATTACATTTGCATTTCAGTATCAGTATTTTAAAATCAGTGTACATGTATTTTATTTCATTTTTTAATATTTATTGACATATTGTACGTAAGTTGTGAATCGCGGGTGTATTACCTGTTTAGCACTTAGGTGTTTCGACTGCAATTTTTGCTCTTCAGTACGCAGGCTTTCTAGTCATCTGTACTCTTTACTGTTTTTTTGTTCCAAGGGGATCTCTTTCCTGTCGACATTTGCACATTGCCAAAATCTCCATGTTGGTGTCTTTTGAGGAGCGGTGAAGGGCATGTCTGAGTGGGTGGCAGTTTTAAATTATTGTGGATTTTATTGTGTGTGTTATGTCCAGTCACTTCTGACTTATGGCAAGTCTGTGAATGAATGACTTCCAGAAAGTTCTATTAACAGCCTTGCTCAGGTCTTGTAAACTGAAGGCCGTGGTTTCCTTTACTGAGTTGATCCATCTCATAGGATTTTGTTATGTTATATGAAGAATTTTGTAAACTTCTTCAAGAATCCGGTCTTGGCAGATCTTGGAAGCTAAGCAGGGTCAACTCTGGCAAGAACTTGGAAGGGAGACCCTCAAGCAATACCTGTCACGGTAGAGCCAGGGAGGCAGGCAGACAGGGGGAGTCACAATACAAGTCCAAAGGTCAGCCGGGGGAGCAGTCAGCAGAGCATTAAACAAGTCCCAAAACACCAGACAAAGCCGTAGTCAAACGTTACCAGAGGTCAGAGTACAGGGAGCAAAGCCGAGGGCGTGGTCAGGTTCAAAGCTGGAAGTCAAGAGCCAGAGCAGTCCAAACGCAAGCCGAGTCCAAAAGCCACAGAGTCAAACAGGAATCAAGGTGCAGAGCTTCTGGTTCTACGAAGGAGGTTGCCAGCACAAATTGCTCATGGCCAGAGGCCCTACTAAATAGTGCTCTGGCCCATTAACTCATTAGCACCTTTGTGCGAGGTCCTGGCTGCTGTTAAAACTCAGGGCTCAAGGATCTCCGCCCTCTTGAACGTGCTTCTTTTCGTCTAGCCAGCTCCTGACGTCTCTGATCCCTAAGCCTACTTACAGTTGGGGGAGATGCAGGTGGTGAGCTGCTTATAGCCTGCTCAATCCCAGGTGCAAACCGTCCTGTAGTTGGCTCAGATTGCTGTGTATCCTCCTCAGTACTTACAGTAGGTGCAGATCCTGATGCTTCTTCAGCTCTTAAAGGCACTGAATCCTCGCCTCTTAGGTTGTCAGGAGCTGGCTCTGGGGCTGAGTCAAGGGCAGGCATGACAATACCAGGGCGGGGACACAGAGGCAGGCAATAGCAAGCCACTTCTCTGAAATGTCCAAGCCCCACTAGAGGTTGCCAGAAGTCAGCCATGACTTCCAGGCACTCACACACACAAAATAACCTCCCCCCCCCCCCAATAATCCTGATGAGAGTTGGAATATAAAGAAGAAAAAGAGTTGAATTAATACCCCGCCCTTCACTCGGAGTCTCAGAGCGGCTTACAATCTCCTTCCCTTCCTCTCCCCACAACAGAGACCCTGTGGGGTGGGTGGGGCTGAGAGAGCTCTTTCGAGAACAGCTCTGAGAGAACTGTGACTGACCCAAGATCACCCAGCTGGCTGCATGTGGAGGCGTGGGGAATCAAACCCGGTTCTCCCAGATTGGAGTCCTCTGTGTTTAACCAGTACACCAAACTGCCAAAGGTTAAGTGGATTAGATCCAAGCAGCTTTTCTACTGGAGAAAAAAAAAAGGAAGGAGGAGATCCCCGTAACCTTCCTGATAGGTTATGCCAGGAATCATGGCACCCACATGGGCAAAAGCCACGTGGGAAGGGAGCTTCAGTAAGGTGGAGACTTGGGGTAGACTGAGCAAAAAGAAAACAAACCTGGCTGGGCCCAACCCACTGTATGAAGTAGATCCAAAGAACCACGCGCAGGAGCTTCGCTCACAGAACGGATCTTTCCTTCTCCTTCTGTCTTCTGCAGCCTTGCACTCCCCCGTGCCCCCCCCCCCATGCCACCCCGAAGCTGCTCCTGAGAGTCTTTTGACCAGTAGGAACCGTTTGAGACGAGGAATGGCATCTTCAGAGCAGAATGTGCAGAAATCGCACACCTTTCCCTGGTCTGAATTGAACCGCCTTCTGCTTGCACAAGAACACCTTTAGGTCCAATCCAACTCGTTTAGAAATTAATAAACAAAAGCTGCCATTTGTTAGGAATGAAAAATGGTGGCATTTTTCCGATTACATTTCCTCTTACGGTAATATACCAGAACCACCAGAGCCTCTAAAACAAGAGCATTCGTAACTTTCAGCCAGTGAAGACTGGCTGCCACTAGTTCATCAGCAGAAGCTTAAACTATCTAGTGAATTAAACCTATTAGCAGTGGAATCCTATGCAGAGTTATCCCAACTGGAATCTGTGGTCTTAGACTGGTATAGCTCTGCATAGGATTGCACTGTAAATCCCACTGCATTAATTCCTGTTGTGAATCAACTAGGTGCTGTGTTTGGTTGTGAACAATTTTTTTCCAGTCTAGAGACTTGAAGCCCTTCATTTCTGATTTTCATTTTATGCTCCTGCTGGATCCTTCCCACATTTACCATTTCATGTATACCTTTTGGTCCAGATATTTAAGAACATAAGAAGAGCCTTGCTGGATCAGACCAATAGTCCATCTAGTCGAGCATCCTTGTCTCACACAGTGGCCAGCCACCTCCTCTGAATGACCAACAACAGGGCATGGTGGCTGAGGCCCTCCCCTGATGTTGCCTGCTTCCTCTGGGATTCAGAGGATTAGTGCCTTTGGATGTGGAGGTTCCTCAAACACCATGGCTAGTAGCCACTGATAGATTTATCCTCCATGAATCTATCTAATCCCCTTTTCAAGCTATTTATTCCTGTGGCCATCACTACATCCTCAGGCAGCAAATCCCACATTTGAATCATAATCATTCAATGTTCCCTCTAAGCTGCAGAGTCTTGTGAGCAAAAATTCTACTTTGGGAGCTATGGGCATCGAAGCTGTGAGCAAGCGATTTGGCTGCCACATAGATTAGTTTGCTCTGGAGCCCTCCTTCCTGAGCTGAGACAAAAATGTGTGAGCCAGAGGCTAAAAACCTGTGAGCTAGCTCATTTAAAAAATGAAAAGAGGAGGAATCATTCACCAATCATCCTACCCACCAAAAGTGGTATAATAATGAGGAAGTAGTACAGTCCAAGTTAAGCTAGTGGTACAGTTGGGTACGTGATGTCACATGTGGAGATCTCACTATATTGTCAAATCTTTCTTCCTTTTCCTACAAAGGGTATACTGAGATTGCTATAAGATGGCCCCAAAGAGCCAGTATGTTAGCTTGTAAGGATTTTTAAAATTAACATGTATTATTTTTATTTACCAAAGCACTCAAACCCTGCCTTCCCTCCCTCGTGGTTTAAGGTGGCTTTGGATTTGATCCACTGAGTTTGTATTTAGGGGCAATTCATACATCCGCTTTGCTCATTATCATAATAACACAAGAAGTGCCCTACTGGATCAAACCAGTGGCCCATCAGGTCCAGCATCCTGTCTCACGCAGTGACCAGCCAGTTCCTCGGGAGGACCAACAACAGGACATAGAAGCTGAGACTTTCCCCTGATGTTGCCTTCTAGGTCTGGGATTCAGAGGATTAGTGCCTCTGAGTGTGGAGGTTCCCTTTAGTCACTATGGCTACGAGCCACTGATAGACTTCTCCTCCATAGATCTATCCCGTCCCCTTTTAAAGCTCTCTATGCCTGTGGCTGTCACCACATCATCATCCCATTCCCCCCCCCTCCTCGTACTCCTTATAAGCACAGACTTTGATCTCCCGTATACCACTAGTCAGCCCTCACTGGAAAGGCTAGCAATGGCATCCTGTAAACTAGAGTGGCTTTCCATGAAGCTTGGTACGAAGGCCTTGGTTGTGAGGCGAAAATTCCGCCTCTTGTTGCCTTGAAACCTGGCTGTCTCGGGGAAGGAGTGCTGTATACTCACTTCGGTGGCGTTTTATCGTTACCCCTACACCACAAAGCCTGGAACTGAGTCCCCACGCTGAAAGCAAATTGTGGGTGAAGCTGTGGTAATCCCCGACACTAACTAGAACAGATGTAATTGGGCACCGTATGCACCAAATCAGCCATTCCTTGAATTTGCATGGAATCATAGAATCGTAGAATCATGGAGTTGGAAGGGGCCATACAGGCCATCTAGTCCAACCGCCTGCTCAATGCAGGATCAGCCTAGAGCATCCCTGACAAGGGTTTGTCCAGCTGCTGCTTCAAGACTGCCAGTGTGGGGGAGCTCACCACCTCCTGAGGCAGCTGATTCCACCATTGAACAACTCTTACCGTAAAAAAGTGTTTCTTAATATCCAGCCCAGTACCTTCCGACCCTTAATTACAACCCATTGATCTTCTTCGTGGTCTCTGTGCATCACACCCTTGGGATACTCTGCGCCTGCGCTGACCTTCTCGGTACCGATAGCTAGCAAAAGGGATTTTCGCGCCTCTCCCAGGTCACGCGCCGGCTCCACTGCGCATGACCAAGGAGGGGCACGCAGATCCCGCCAGTTCTCTTCTGACCGCCGCGCTGGTAGGACGCCTTCTGCCTCGGTCTGCTAAGTACCAACTTTTTTTTTGCTAAACTTGCGTTTAGTTAGTTTCTCTTTCTTTATTTTTGTAGTTAGCATTTTTCTTTCGGTGTTTATTCTTTATTTTCGTTCCCCTCCCGCTGGCCTATGGCCCCGCGGTGGGGTTGTTTCAAACGGTGTAGGACTTGCGGCCTTAAAATATCCCCCACCGACGGGCACTCGCTTTGCCTCGTTTGTTTAGGGGAGTCGCACTGTGTCTCTAAGTGCAGACA